AGCAACTAGCAGGGAATACCTGTTATTGGTATGGGTATGTAGTTTAACGGTTTTTGGCCTCCTCCTTTCTTATAGATTGGTACCATATTACCCATATTCCAGTTGTTAGAAGTTATCCCGTTTCTAGAGGAATTAAATATTATGGCAAGTGGGCTGCACAAGGCTTCAGCTGCATCTTTTAGTATCCATGGTGATATTTTGTCTGGTCCCATGGCTTTTGTCACATCCAGTTCCTGTAGTTGCTTCTTTACTACTTCTGGTGTCACTGTTAGTTCAGTGAGGTTTTCCTGTGGAATTTCCAGTTCAGTTTGGGCCCCTATGCTATAGTGGCAAATCAGGCTCCAGCTTGAATACTTCCCGAAAGCTTTTGATAAGTTCTTCTCATACGTTCTAATCATTTCTTAATCCTCTTGTGTCCTCCCTTTCTCATGTCAGGTGTGATAACCTGTTCATTCAGTCATCTTCCTGAAGGAACAGTTTTGGCCAGGGCTTGGCCTTGTATGCAATGTCATTCTCGCATTGCTTCTTTGCCACTCTCCTAGTTTCTGTGTACTCATTTCTGGCCTTTTGTATGCATTGTGATTTCCTTCTGTGTTCTCTATATTTCTTCCACGCTCTTGTGCTTCTTATCTTTGCTTCTAGACACTGCCTATTGGACCATTGGTTAATGGTCGTCTTGTGTTGTCTTCAGGAATTCTCTGACCTTCTGGTATTCTCCTCTCCTGTCTGCTAGCCTTACATTCTCCCCCTTGTTATATATTTTTTATGGTCCTCATTGTCACTATATATTTCAAGACTAAAACATAGTGGTCACTGGCTCTTGTTGGCATTTCATAGTCAATGTTTTGAACGTCCATCTCGTTTTTGTGTGAAAATCAGATCTGGCCTGGCTGGTTGGTCACATTCCCTTCTGCTTGTTTCCTCTCTGATATGCTGCATAAGAAGCAAGTTCCTCTTTACCACTTCTATAAGTTTTGCTCTCCATGATTCATCTCCTCTTGGAGTCCATTGTTTCCCAGATGATTTAGCCATGGTTGAAGTCTCCCATTACCAGCAACTTTGCTTTTTGACTATGGGCTGTGTCTGTCACCCTTTGGAGGATATTCAAGAATGCTCTGTTTGTAATTTAATATTCTTGCCTCGGTTTCCTGTGATTCTTTGGGGTAGTTGTTGATTGCAGCCACAACCACGTCTTACCATCCAGCGAAATAATTCTTTCAATGCAGTTCCTGTAGTTGTTTGCCGCCTTCAGTGAAATCTCCTTTGAGGATCTAGGTTCTTTTTACCAACAGTGTCACAGGACTTCCTCCTCTCTGTAGTCTTTCCCTTCTCATTATTTGATATTCCCTTGGAAATGTCACATTACTAATCATACCAGTTAGTTTGGTCTCTACTAGTGCTACTACATCAGAGTCTGTTTCCTCACTCCTTTCTTTAAGTTCATCTGTTTGTCAATCCATTGGCATAGATGTGGCACATCTTCAGGATCTTTATTGTTCTATTGTCCTTTGAATGCCTACTTTCTAGTCTAGGTATGGGGGGGGGGGGGGTGGAGACAGGGTTGTGTGGTGGAGGATAAATAGTTGTAGTGAGGAAGGATTGGGAAAAAGTAGTAGTGGGGGGGGGGGGGAGTGAGTGAGGGGAAGACAGAGTAACGGGGTCAGGAAAGAGTGGAGGAGAGAGCTAAGAGATGACCTAGTGGGGGAGGGGGGGGAGTGTACACCATATATTACCTGAATTTACCCGAGGGCCACTAGTGGCCTCGACGAGGACAGGAAGCCGGCAACTTGTCAAAAACATCACCTCACCGTTTGCCCTGATGATCTTTTCCAGTTGTACTTTAATACTCAACACAGTTTTGGCATTTACGGTTTCAGCGGGTAGGCGGTTCCACGGGTTAATAACCCTGTGGGTGAAGAAGAATCTCCTGTCCTCAGGCGGTCGGCCGAGCGGACAGCACACTGGACTTGTGATCCTGTGGTCCTGGGTTGGATCCCAGGCGCCGGCGAGAAACAATGGGCAGAGTTTCTTTCACCCCATGCCCCTGTTACCTAGCAGTAAAATAGGTACCTGGGTGTTAGTCAGCTGTCACGGGCTGCTTCCTGGGGGTGGAGCCCTGGTCGAGGACCGGGCCGCGGGGACACTAAAGCCCCGAAATCATCTCAAGATAACCTCAAGATAGTGCAACATTGTGGCGTGTTGAGCGTGTCACTGTTGCTCCTTGTTGGTGTTACAACTAATCTTTTGAAGGAATTTTCCGTATCAACATCCCCCAAAATGTTAAGTATTTTAAGTTCTAGTGAGATCAGCCCTGTCATGTCTGGTTTGTGGTGATGTTAGCCACCTCACCCCTCATGTGGTGAGGTGGTCCAGCCCCCTCACCCCTCATGTGGTGAGGTGGTCCAGCCCCCTCACCCCTCATGTGGTGAGGTGGTCCAGCCCCCTCACTCCTCATGTGGTGAGGTGGTCCAGCCCCCTCACTCCTCATGTGGTGAAGTGGTCCAGCCCCCTCACTCCTCATGTGGTGAGGTGGTCCAGCCCCCTCACTCCTCATGTGGTGAGGTGGTCCAGCCCCCTCACTCCTCATGTGGTGAGGTGGTCCAGCCCCCTCACCCCTCATGTGGTGAGGTGGTCCAGCCCCCTCACTCCTCATGTGGTGAGGTGGTCCAGCCCCCTCATCCTTCATGTGGTGAGGTGGTCCAGCCCCCTCACCCCTCATGTGGTGAGGTGGTCCAGCCCCCTCACCCCTCATGTGGTGAGGTGGTCCAGCCCCCTCACTCCTCATGTGGTGAGGTGGTCCAGCCCCCTCACTCCTCATGTGGTGAGGTGGTCCAGCCCCCTCACTCCTCATGTGGTGAGGTGGTCCAGCCCCCTCACTCCTCATGTGGTGAGGTGGTCCAGCCCCCTCACTCCTCATGTGGTGAGGTGGTCCAGCCCCCTCACCCCTCATGTGGTGAGGTGGTCCAGCCCCCTCACCCCTCATGTGGTGAGGTGGTCCAGCCCCCTCACCCCTCATGTGGTGAGGTGGTCCAGCCCCCTCACCCCTCATGTGGTGAGGTGGTCCAGCCCCCTCACTCCTCATGTGGTGAGGTGGTCCAGCCCCCTCACTCCTCATGTGGTGAGGTGGTCCAGCCCCCTCACTCCTCATGTGGTGAGGTGGTCCAGCCCCCTCACTCCTCATGTGGTGAGGTGGTCCAGCCCCCTCACTCCTCATGTGGTGAGGTGGTCCAGCCCCCTCACTCCTCATGTGGTGAGGTGGTCCAGCCCCCTCACTCCTCATGTGGTGAGGTGGTCCAGCCCCCTCACTCCTCATGTGGTGAGGTGGTCCAGCCCCCTCACTCCTCATGTGGTGAGGTGGTCCAGCCCCCTCACTCCTCATGTGGTGAGGTGGTCCAGCCCCCTCACTCCTCATGTGGTGAGGTGGTCCAGCCCCCTCACTCCTCATGTGGTGAGGTGGTCCAGCCCCCTCACCCCTCATGTGGTGAGGTGGTCCAGCCCCCTCACCCCTCATGTGGTGAGGTGGTCCAGCCCCCTCACCCCTCATGTGGTGAGGTGGTCCAGCCCCCTCACCTCTCATGGCGTGAGGTGGTCCAGCCCCCCTCACCTCTCATGTGGTGAGGTGGTCCAGCCCCCTCACCTCTCATGTGGTGAGGTGGTCCAGCCCCCTCACCTCTCATGTGGTGAGGTGGTCCAGCTCCCTCACCTCTCATGTGGTGAGGTGGTCCAGCTCCCTCACCTCTCATGTGGTGAGGTGGTCCAGCCCCCTCACCTCTCATGTGGTGAGGTGGTCCAGCTCCCTCACCTCTCATGTGGTGAGGTGGTCCAGTCCCCTCACTCCTCATGTGGTGAGGTGGTCCAGCCCCCTCACCTCTCATGTGGTGAGGTGGTCCAGCCCCCTCACTCCTCATGTGGTGAGGTGGTCCAGCTCCCTCACCTCTCATGTGGTGAGGTGGTCCAGCCCCCTCACTTGTGTTGTTACTCATGTGGTGTGAGGGACGGGGGGTAGGGGTAAGAGGGGGGGGATCCATGCCAAGGCTGCATAGTGAAGAGTGAGTCTCACGTAGGTTGTGTAAGTTTGATTTAGTGAAAGAGAGTTCAGATTACTCACCACAGTTATAGTGCCACTGGAGCACGCACTGAGAGCACTTGACACCCTCCGGCAGGACCACGGGGATAGTGAGGTTCACCGCGTCCTGACCATCACCATCATGAAAGGTAAACACAAGACAGTTAAACGTTTGATCATGGCTTGAAATGTGAGTGACACTCTAGCGTGAGAATTGGATTGTTAATATACCAGAGCCTATCGAAGAGGGGAATAATCCAATTAACATTTTCTTACCGCAAATCTGTCAGTGGCGAACATATATCAATAGTGGAGCACCGCAGACAAATTTACTTGTGCTCTCTTGTGGGAAATTATATTTCCCACAAGAGAGGGCAATTACTACGGGCTTGGGGAAGTCAATAACAATTAGTACGGGCTTGGGGAAGTTGATGACAATTACTACGGGCTTGGGGAAGTTGATGACAATTACTACGGGCTTGGGGAAGTGAATAACAGTTACTACGGGCTTGGGGAAGTGAATAACAATTACTACGGGCTTGGGGAAGTTGATGACAATTACTACGGGCTTGGGGAAGTGAATAACAATTAGTACGGGCTTGGGGAAGTTGATGACAATTACTACGGGCTTGGGGAAGTTGATGACAATTACTACGGGCTTGGGGAAGTGAATAACAATTACTACGGGCTTGGGGAAGTGAATAACAATTACTACGGGCTTGGGGAAGTCAATAACAATTAGTACGGGCTTGGGGAAGCAACTGAAGCACAGTATCAACCACAGATCAAAACAAAGAGGAACACTTTGCCAAAGTCAGACATGTGCAACAGACCTGCTTCACCACCAACGCTCGTAAGTCTTTACTTACAAGTTAACAAGTTCAGGTTATATTGTGAGCAAGTTGTGCCAGGCGGCGCAGGACCTACCTGCAGGTACGTGATGGGAAAGGCGGTGCCGGAGCCGTCGGCCAGTTGGAGGAGGTGTTGGTCCAGACACTCCTGCTCGATGTAGTGCGACGGGTCGTTGTTGACACACAGACGGAACTCGAAGTAGCCGAGGTGGCTGGTCGTGAGCTCCACCTCCACCGCCACCTCCTGCATTCATCAAGGACACGGTTAATGACACGGTTAATGACCCTAGTTAGTGACACAGTCCTTGGGACAGGACAGACAGCGGGATGGAACCAGGGACTATCCCAGAGGCCGGTGGACAGCTGTATACTTACAAAAAATTATTCAAGCTGGAGTCCCCGCGAACTCGCCAAGAATTTGTCGGCATCGTTGTGATTTTATTGTGTACCCGAGTTAATAGATAAAATATATGAAACACATTTACGAAACGTCAGATTTACTGACGATGTAGTTAAGCTGACGATGTGTTCACCTAGTTGTGTTCGCGGGGGTTGAGCTCTGCTCTTTCGGCCCGCCTCTCAACTGTCAATCAATCAACTGTTACTAACTACAATTTTTTTCCACCTCCCCCCCCCACACATCCCCCAGGAAGCAGCCCGTGACAGCTGTCTGACTCCCAGGTACCTATTTACTGCTAGGTAACAGGGGCATCAGGGTAAAAGAAACTCTGCCCATTTATGTCTGCTGGTGCCGGGAATGGAACCCGGGCCACATGATTACGAGTCTCGCTAGCTGTCCACTTAGCTACCAGTGGCCAGATTCACGAAACAGTTACGCAAGCACTTACGAACGTGTACATCTTTCCTCAATCTTTGACGGCTTTGGTTACATTTATTAAACAGTTTACAAGCATGAAAACTTGCCAATCAACTGTTGTTATAAACAGCCTCCTGGTGCTTCGGGGCTCATTAACTGTTTAATAATTGTAAACATAGCCGCCAAAGATTGACAAAAGATGTACAGATTCGTAAGTGCTTGCGTAACTACTTCGTGAATCTGGCCCCAGACCCCTAGAGATGGTTCATACTGCTCGTTGGCACATCTCATTCAGAGGGTTCAAGGACGTTGTTAGAGCCAGATCAGCTTTTAACGCGCGAATCATCTTGCGTCCCAATTATTTTTTAATGTGTTACAAATAATTTACTCTATATTTTCTATTTCAAAATAGTATCCGGCATTAAGCTATGACCGGCTAGATGTCAGGCAGCGCTGACGACGCCCAGGAGAATGTCAGCTTGCTGACAATACAACCCGTCCTCCTACAACCCGTCCTCCTACAACCCGTCCTCCTACAAAGAGCGTCGTATTTCGCTGGTATACATTACGTAAGGCCAACAATTGTCGTACTAGAAAATGGAAGCGGCTCACAAAAGTGACGTACTGTTCCCGTTTTCTGTTTCGGGTCCTCTGGTAGGTTAGAATGAGGGCACTATAGTACGACGGTTTCTTGACGTTGAGGCACCTTAGGAGGACGGGCTGCTAGACGGGTGGAAAGCACTGCCGAGGAATATAACTAAACCAAGCACTCTGGTATGATTTATAAACAGTTTAGACAGGAAAATGACGGCAAACATTTCGGTGTGATCTTGTATGACCCGACAGCTTACTGTGGCGTGTCCTGCTGCTGCTGCTGCGTGTCCTGCTGCGGCGTGTCCTGCTGCTGTTGCTGCTGCGGCGTGTCCTGCTGCGGCGTGTCCTGCTGTTGCTGCTGCGGCGTGTCCTGCTGCTGTTGCTGCTGCGGCGTGTCCTGCTGCTGTTGCTGCTGCGGCGTGTCCTGCTGCTGCGGCGTGTCCTGCTGCTGCGGCGTGTCCTGCTGCTGCTGCTGCGGCGTGTCCAGCTGCTGCTGCTGCGGCGTGTCCTGCTGCTGCTGCTGCGGCGTGTCCTGCTGCTGCTGCGTGTCCTGCTGCTGCTGCTGCTGCGTGTCCTGCTGCTGCTGCTGCTGCGTGTCCTGCTGCTGCTGCTGCGTGTCCTGCTGCTGCTGCTGCGGCGTGTCCTGCTGCTGCTGCGGCGTGTCCTGCTGCTGCTGCGGCGTGTCCTGCTGCTGCTGCTGCTGCGGCGGCGTGTCCTGCTGCTGCTGCGGCGTGTCCTGCTGTTGCTGCTGCTGCGGCGTGTCCTGCTGTTGCTGCTGCTGCGGCGTGTCCTGCTGGTGCTGCTGCTGCGGCGTGTCCTGCTGTTGCTGCTGCTGCGGCGTGTCCTGCTGCTGCTGCTGCGGCGGCGGCGGCGTGTCCTGCTGCTGCTGCGGCGTGTCCTGCTGCTGCTGCGGCGTGTCCTGCTGCTGCTGCGGCGTGTCCTGCTGCTGCTGCTGCTGCTGCGGCGTGTCCTGCTGCTGCTGCTGCGGCGTGTCCTGCTGCTGCTGCGGCGGCGTGTCCTGCTGCTGCTGCGGCGTGTCCTGCTGCTGCTGCGGCGTGTCCTGCTGCTGCTGCGGCGTGTCCTGCTGCTGCTGCGGCGTGTCCTGCTGCTGCTGCGGCGTGTCCTGCTGCTGCTGCGGCGTGTCCTGCTGCTGCTGCGGCGTGTCCTGCTGCTGCTGCGGCGTGTCCTGCTGCTGCGGCGTGTCCTGCTGCTGCTGCTGCGGCGTGTCCTGCTGCTGCGGCGTGTCCTGCTGCTGCTGCTGCGGCGTGTCCTGCTGCTGCTGCTGCGGCGTGTCCTGCTGCTGCTGCTGCTGCGGCGTGTCCTGCTGCTGCTGCGGCGGCGTGTCCTGCTGCTGCTGCGGCGTGTCCTGCTGTTGCTGCTGCTGCGGCGTGTCCTGCTGTTGCTGCTGCTGCGGCGTGTCCTGCTGTTGCTGCTGCTGCGGCGTGTCCTGCTGCTGCTGCGGCGTGTCCTGCTGCTGCTGCTGCTGCTGCGGCGTGTCCTGCTGCTGCTGCTGCGGCGTGTCCTGCTGCTGCTGCTGCGGCGTGTCCTGCTGCTGCTGCGTGTCCTGCTGCTGCTGCTGCGGCGTGTCCTGCTGCTGCTGCGGCGTGTCCTGCTGCTGCGGCGTGTCCTGCTGCTGCTGCTGCGGCGTGTCCTGCTGCTGCTGCTGCGGCGTGTCCTGCTGCTGCTGCTGCGGCGTGTCCTGCTGCTGCGGCGTGTCCTGCTGCTGCTGCGGCGTGTCCTGCTGCTGCTGCGGCGTGTCCTGCTGCTGCTGCGGCGTGTCCTGCTGCTGCTGCTGCGGCGTGTCCTGCTGCTGCTGCTGCGGCGTGTCCTGCTGCTGCTGCTGCGGCGGCGGCGGCGTGTCCTGCTGCTGCTGCGGCGTGTCCTGCTGCTGCTGCGGCGTGTCCTGCTGCTGCTGCTGCTGCGGCGTGTCCTGCTGCTGCTGCTGCTGCGGCGGCGGCGTGTCCTGCTGCTGCTGCTGCGGCGGCGGCGTGTCCTGCTGCTGCTGCGGCGTGTCCTGCTGCTGCTGCTGCGGCGTGTCCTGCTGCTGCTGCGGCGTGTCCTGCTGCTGCTGCTGCGGCGTGTCCTGCTGCTGCTGCTGCGGCGTGTCCTGCTGCTGCTGCTGCGGCGTGTCCTGCTGCTGCTGCTGCGGCGTGTCCTGCTGCTGCGGCGTGTCCTGCTGCTGCTGCTGCGGCGCCTGCTGCTGCTGCTGCGGCGTGTCCTGCTGCTGCTGCGGCGTGTCCTGCTGCTGCTGCGGCGTGTCCTGCTGCTGCTGCGGCGTGTCCTGCTGCTGCGGCGTGTCCTGCTGCTGCTGCTGCGGCGTGTCCTGCTGCTGCTGCGGCGTGTCCTGCTGCTGCTGCTGCGGCGTGTCCTGCTGCTGCGGCGTGTCCTGCTGCTGCTGCTGCGGCGTGTCCTGCTGCTGCTGCTGCTGCTGCGGCGTGTCCTGCTGCTGCGGCGTGTCCTGCTGCTGCTGCGGCGTGTCCTGCTGCTGCTGCGGCGTGTCCTGCTGCTGCTGCGGCGTGTCCTGCTGCTGCTGCGGCGTGTCCTGCTGCTGCTGCGGCGGGTCCTGCTGCTGCTGCGGCGTGTCCTGCTGCTGCTGCGGCGTGTCCTGCTGCTGCTGCTGCTGCTGCGGCGTGTCCTGCTGCTGCTGCTGCTGCTGCGGCGTGTCCTGCTGCTGCTGCTGCTGCGTGTCCTGCTGCTGCTGCGGCGGCGTGTCCTGCTGCTGCTGCTGCGGCGGCGTGTCCTGCTGCTGCTGCTGCTGCTGCGGCGTGTCCTGCTGCTGCGGCGGCGTGTCCTGCTGCTGCTGCTGCGGCGTGTCCTGCTGCTGCGGCGTGTCCTGCTGCTGCTGCGTGTCCTGCTGCTGCTGCGGCGTGTCCTGCTGCTGCTGCTGCTGCTGCGGCGGCGTGTCCTGCTGCTGCTGCTGCTGCGGCGTGTCCTGCTGCTGCTGCTGCTGCGGCGTGTCCTGCTGCTGCTGCGGCGTGTCCTGCTGCTGCTGCTGCTGCGGCGTGTCCTGCTGCTGCTGCTGCTGCGGCGTGTCCTGCTGCTGCTGCTGCTGCGGCGTGTCCTGCTGCTGCTGCTGCTGCGGCGTGTCCTGCTGCTGCTGCTGCTGCGGCGTGTCCTGCTGCTGCTGCTGCTGCGGCGTGTCCTGCTGCTGCTGCTGCTGCGGCGTGTCCTGCTGCTGCTGCTGCTGCGGCGTGTCCTGCTGCTGCTGCTGCTGCGGCGTGTCCTGCTGCTGCTGCGGCGTGTCCTGCTGCTGCTGCGGCGTGTCCTGCTGCTGCTGCGGCGTGTCCTGCTGCTGCTGCTGCTGCAGCGGCGTGTCCTGCTGCTGCGGCGTGTCCTGCTGCTGCGGCGTGTCCTGCTGCTGCGGCGTGTCCTGCTGCTGCGGCGTGTCCTGCTGCTGCGGCGTGTTCTGCTGCTGCGGCGTGTCCTGCTGCTGCGGCGTGTTCTGCTGCTGCGGCGTGTCCTGCTGCTGCGGCGTGTCCTGCTGCTGCGGCGTGTCCTGCTGCTGCGGCGTGTCCTGCTGCTGCGGCGTGTCCTGCTGCTGCTGCATGTCCTGCTGCTGCTGCTGCGGCGTGTCCTGCTGCTGCGGCGTGTCCTGCTGCTGCGGCGTGTCCTGCTGCTGCGGCGTGTCCTGCTGCTGCTGCTGCGGCGTGTCCTGCTGCTGCTGCTGCGTGTCCTGCTGCTGCTGCTGCGGCGTGTCCTGCTGCTGCGGCGTGTCCTGCTGCTGCTGCTGCGGCGTGTCCTGCTGCTGGTGGTGTTAAGGTGGCACTTGGCACTGTCACCCTCCTCGCTCACCGTCCTTTGTCAGTCCTTACTCCCAGTTATGTACGTGACTTAACTCGCTACTTGTCCGTAGCATTTGGTGAGGACACGGACGGTGTTGCTGTGTGACGGGGAGGGTGATGGCGGGGCGTGTCCGTCCACTGCTCCCTGTCACACCCAGCAGGTGTTACTGGATGGCCTCATCCTCTTATCACCAGCTGACTCCCATACAATGTTTATATTTATCAGTCGTCCTGTGCTATTTATAGTCCCCCTTCCCCGTTCCTTATCCTTATCTCTTCCCAGTACAATATGAGCGTAATGGCTTGGAGCTTCCTCCTGATAGTTCCCTGTCTCCCCTTCCCAGGGTGGACCAGGTGACCCCCCCCAGGGTGGACCAGGTGACCCCCCCCCACAGGGTTTACCAGGTGACCCCCCCCAGGGTGGACCAGGTGACCCCCCCCCAGGGTGGACCAGGTGACCCCCCCCCAGGGTGGACCAGGTGACCCCCCCCAGGGTGGACCAGGTGACCCCCCCACAGGGTGGACCAGGTGAACCCCCGCCCCCCAGGGTGGACCAGGTGACCCCCCCCCAGGGTGGACCAGGTGACCCCCCCACAGGGTGGACCAGGTGACCCCCCACAGGGTGGACCAGGTGACCCCCCCCAGGGTGGACCAGGTGACCCCCCCCCAGGGTGGACCAGGTGACCCCCCCACAGGGTGGACCAGGTGAACCCCCGCCCCTCAGGGTGGACCAGGTGACCCCCCCCCCAGGGTGGACCAGGTGACCCCCCCACAGGGTGGACCAGGTGACCCCCCCACAGGGTGGACCAGGTGAACCCCCGCCCCCAGGGTGGACCAGGTGAACCCCCGCCCCCCTGGGTGGACCAGGTGACCCCCCCCAGGGTGGACCAGGTGACACCCCTCCAGGGTGGACCAGGTGAACCCCCGCCCCCCAGGGTGGACCAGGTGAACTCCCCCCAGGGTGGACCAGGTGACACCCCTCCAGGGTGGACCAGGTGAACCCCCGCCCCCCAGGGTGGACCAGGTGACCCCCCCCCTCCACAGGACGCCACCCCACAACACTTGCCTAACTCCAAGGTACCTTTTTTTATTGCTAAGTGAATAAATGCATTAGATGAAAGGACACGTGCCCGACCATTTCTGTCCCGTCTAGAAATCGAACCCAGGATCCCTGACTGTGAGTCGAGAACGAAGCCAGCCAGCCGTACTACGAGACCTTTACAATACATCTCTCTGCTGCCAAGATAAAGGAATTACCTACCCGCTAGTGTTTTATATAACGTGGAGAGGGCTGTAAGACCTGCTGCATGGGTAACAGCTTCTCCTCCGTATCAACCTACCCTGGCTTTGTGCCCTGGAGAGGCCACTCCAGACCGACAAGCAGAGCGCAACTCCATAGCCTCCTGAGACTGATGGATGCCTACAACCCGTTCTCGCACTTTCTTACAGTCAATATTGACTTATTAAATAAGTGCATATGTGACATACTATTGACTTATTAAATAAGTGCATATGTGACATCTTATTGCTTCGTAATTACAATTATTACTTAACCTATTATAGGTATAGGTTAAGTAATAATTGTAATTACGAAGCAATAAGATGCTTATCTTAACATAGTAAGAAGGTTAGGTAAGGTCGGTGTTTTCTATGAAGCTTTTCAAGGTAAACTAAAATATTCACAATAAATTAGTATGTCACATATGCAAGTATTAATAAGCCAATATTGACTATACGAAAGTGCGAGAACGGGTTGCTGCCTACTACTAAGTCACTAATCAGTACTTGAAGGCGTCACGCACAGCACTCCCCGCACCGGTTATCTTGAGATGATTTCGGGGCTTTAGTGTCCCCGCGGCCCGGTCCTCGACCAGGCCTCCACCCCTAGGAAGCAGCCCGTGACAGCTGACTAACTCCCAGGTACCTATTTACTGCTAGGTAATAGGGGCATTCAGGGTGAAAGAAACTTTGCCCATTTGTTTCTGCCTCGTGCGGGAATCGAACCCGCGCCACAGAATTACGAGTCCTGCGCGCTATCCACCAGGCTACGAGGCCCCTACGAGTACCCCGAGGGGTACTGGAATGTGCAGCACCGGCCTGGATCCCGCATATTAAGCGTAAAAACAAAAAATGTAAAAAATCAGTAATTACCAAAAGAAGGCGGGTTTTCTTCCTATTGGGGAGTGTTGTACATTCTGCTATGGCGGTGTGTCCACTCACAGGATGAGTGGCGCTGCCCAATACTGTCACTATGGCGGTGTGTTCACTCACAGGATGAGTGGCGCTGCCCAATACTGTCACTATGGCGGTGTGTCCACTCACAGGATGAGTGGCGCTGCCCAATACTGTCACTATGGCGGTGTGTCCACTCACAGGATGAGTGGCGCTGCCCAATACTGTCACTATGGCGGTGTGTTCACTCACAGGATGAGTGGCGCTGCCCAATACTGTCACTATGGCGGTGTGTTCACTCACAAGATGAGTGACGCTGCCCAATAAATTCGCCCCTCGGGGCAAAAATTAAAAAAAAAATTTAAGGCACCAAGCTGGGAAGACTATGAACAGGGAAATGTAAACAGTGTAGAGGTTTGTAACAAGACTGGTGCCGGAGCTAAGAGGGTTGGGATATAAGGAAGAGGGTATGACCTAAAGCTCACATTCCAAGAGCACACATGAAACGGTGGTTACATGATCACAACATACAAGATAGTACCAGGAATAGACAAGGTGGACAAGGATAGCTTTTTGACATTGAGAGAAAGGAGGAGATGAAGAACACGGGTGAAAGATGTCAACACGGACGAATAAATGTAAATAAATATTCGTAATCTCTTTGGTCAACAATTACGTGTTAACACAATGAGGGAAGAAGTTATAGAAGCCTCCTCCACCCTTAAATTAAACAAGGAACGTCAACGCCAGAATATAACGCCACAGGTGGTTATCTTGAGATGATTTCGGGGCTTTAGTGTCCCCGCGGCCCGGTCCTCGACCAGGCCTCCACCCCCAGGAAGCAGCCCGTGACAGCTGACTAACACCCAGGTACCTAATTTACTGTTAGGTAACATGGGCATGTAGTGAAAGAAACTCTGCCCATTGTTTCTCACCGGCGCCTGGGATCGAACCCAGGACCAAAGGATCACAAACCCAGCGTGCTGTCCGCTCGGCCGACCGGCTCCCGCGGTGGAACAAGGATAGCAGGCAGGGTATAAACAGCTCGCCCGGCTCGATAACAGCTCGCCCGGCTCGATAACAGCTCGCCCGGCTCGATAACAGCTCGCCCGGCTCGATAACAGCTCGCCCGGCTCGATAACAGCTCGCCCGGCTCGATAACAGCTCGCCCGGCTCGATAACAGCTCGCCCGGCTCGATAACAGCTCGCCCGGCTCGATAACAGCTCGCCCGGCTCGATAACAGCTCGCCCGGCTCGATAACAGCTCGCCCGGGTCGATAACAGCTCGCCCGGCTCGATAACAGCTCGTCCGGATCGATAACAGCTCGTCCGGATCGATAACAGCTCGCCCGGCTCGATAACAGCTCGCCCGGCTCGATAACAGCTCGCCCGGCTCGATAACAGCTCGCCCGGCTCGATAACAGCTCGCCCGGCTCGATAACAGCTCGCCCGGCTCGATAACAGCTCGTCCGGATCGATAACAGCTCGTCCGGCTCGATAATAGCTCATCCGGCTCGATAACAGCTCGTCCGGCTCCGCCGCAGACAGAGCAGGGCGAACTTAGGAACAGTAACTTAGCAGTAGTCCGGAGCCGCGACACAGTTACCTGGTTGACGGTGTAGTCTGCGACGATGACGCCCGTGCCGTACCTGCCCCCGGCCTCGTTCTCGCGAGGTCTGGGGTCAGCCCAGTTGTCCCCACACACGCCACAGTTGCCATCGTTCTCGTCGTATTGTGTCTGTAAGGTATACGTTGGTTTAATACAAGGCACCATGTATTGGCCATATACACTGTGTATAGGTCTGTTAAACCCATACACCATTGTATGGGGGTAATATTGTGGGGGTACACAGTATGGAGCTGCTGTACTATGGGTGGAACACAGTATGGGGCTGCTGTACTATGGGTGGGGATACACGGTATGGGGCTGCTGTACTATGGGTGGGGGTACACAGTATGGGGCTGCTGTACTATGGGTGGGGGTACACAGTATGGAGCTGCTGTACTATGGGTGGTGGTACACAGTATGGGGCTGCTGTACTATGGGTGGGGGTACACAGTATGGGGCTGCTGTACTATGGGTGGGGGTACACAGTATGGGGCTGCTGTACTATGGGTGGGGTACACAGTATGGGGCTGCTGTACTATGGGTGGGGGTACACAGTATGGGGCTGCTGTACTATGGGTGGGGGTACACAGTATGGGGCTGCTGTACTATGGGTGGGGGTACACAGTATGGGGCTGCTGTACTATGGGTGGGGGTACACAGTATGGGGCTGCTGTACTATGGGTGGGGGTACACAGTATGGGGCTGCTGTACTATGGGTGGGGGTACACAGTATGGGGGCTGCTGTACTATGGGTGGGGGTACACAGTATGGGGCTGCTGTACTATGGGTGGTGGTACACAGTATGGGGCTGCTGTACTATGGGTGGGGGTACACAGTATGGGGCTGCTGTACTATGGGTGGTGGTACACAGTATGGGGCTGCTGTACTATGGGTGGGGGTACACAGTATGGGGCTGCTGTACTATGGGTGGTACACAGTATGGGGTGCTGTACTATGGGTGGAGGTACACAGTATGGGCTGCTGTACTATGGGTGGTGTACACAGTATGGGGCTGCTGTACTATGGGTGGTGGTACACAGTATGGGGTGCTGTACTATGGGTGGTACACAGTATGGGGTGCTGTACTATGGGTGGAGGTACACAGTATGGGCTGCTGTACTATGGGTGGTGGTACACAGTATGGGGCTGCTGTACTATGGGTGGGGTACACAGTATGGGGCTGCTGTACTATGAGTGGTGTACACAGTATGGGCTGCTGTACTATGGGTGGTACACAGTATAGGGTGCTGTACTATGGGTGGGGATACACAGTATGGGGCTGCTGTACTATGGGTGGGGGTACACAGTATGGGCTGCTGTACTATGGGTGGGGTACAGTATGAGCTGCTGTACTATGGGTGGGGTACACAGTATGGGGCTGCTGTACTATGGGTGGGGGTACACAGTATGGGCTGCTGTACTATGGGTGGGGGTACAGTATGAGCTGCTGTACTATGGGTGGGGTACACAGTATGGGGCTGCTGTACTATGGGTGGGGGTACACAGTATGGGCTGCTGTACTATGGGTGGGGGTACACAGTATGGGGCTGCTGTACTATGGGTGGTGGTACACAGTATGGGGCTGCTGTACTATGGGTGGGGGTACACAATATGGGGCTGCTGTACTATGGGTGGGGTACACAGTATGGGGCTGCTGTACTATGGGTGGGGTACACAGTATGGGGCTGCTGTACTATGGGTGGGGTACACAGTATGGGGCTGCTGTACTATGGGTGGGGTACACAGTATGGGGCTGCTGTACTATGGGTTGGGTACACAGTATGGGGCTGCTGTACTATGGGTGGGGTACACAGTATGGGGCTGCTGTACTATGGGTGGGGTACACAGTATGGGGCTGCTGTACTATGGGTGGGGGTACACAGTATGGGGCTGCTGTACTATGGGTGGGGTACACAGTATGGGGCTGCTGTACTATGGGTGGGGTACACAGTATGGGGCTGCTGTACTATGGGTGGGGTACACAGTATGGGGCTGCTGTACTATGGGTGGGGTACACAGTATGGGGCTGCTGTACTATGGGTGGGGTACACAGTATGGGGCTGCTGTACTATGGGTGGGGGTACACAGTATGGGGCTGCTGTACTATGGGTGGGGGTACACAGTATGGGGCTGCTGTACTATGGGTGGGGTACACAGTATGGGGCTGCTGTACTATGGGTGGGGGTACACAGTATGGGGCAGCTGTACTATGGGTGGGGGTACACAGTATGGGGCTGCTGTACTATGGGTGGGGGTACACAGTATGGGGCTGGTGTATTATGGGTGGGGATACTGGTGGCTGTACAAGAATGTAACAACTGTGCGTGCGTGTGTGTGCTTACACCGAATCCTCCACAGTTGAGTTCGTCGTCCTCCCAGTTAATCGGGGTATCGAACCCCTTCCTCCAGGCGGAGGAGCGTGAGACTGGCTCCATCAGGCGGCCATGGCCCTCCACCACACCCACCGCCCACAGTGCCACCACACCCACCGCCCACACGCCCACGGTTCTCATCTCAGCACACAGGGAGGTCTACAGGCCGTACTGGTGCTAAGGCGTCGGTGTGGTTCAGTCATCACACGAGGCATTACTTATAGTGAGGAGCAAGAGTGGTACAAGGCTGTAGTATCGTACCCAACAGCAGCCGTGTTCCCACAGGTACGAAGATACGCGCTCAGATCTCCAGCCACAAGGAGTCGCACACTAAGATGGTGGTTTGTTTATTTAGGTCACAGGTTCGACCCGTCACCATAAACACCAATCCGTCCTCGACTCAAGTCCATTCCATCCAGCGGTCGACCCCTACAGACGCATTCATAAATTTTAACTTGCTGTTCATTCAAAACGGGAATTTTCTCAGATATAAGTTAATATTATTATATATTAGCATATTGAGCATATTTAGGCTTAGGTTAGGTGTTTAGGTTCTGTTGGCGATTATTTGTATTTGTAGTCCGTGGGTGAAGCATTTACAGCGTTGTGGTTCGAACACAAGTCGTCAGTGAAGCACTTGTTCCGGAAGTGTTCGAACGTCAGCAGTTGCGAGTCGTGTGTAAACCGTTTGTCATTCATAGACACCTGGGGGTTTGGCGGGTGGGTGGAATGGTCTTTGGGTCTTTGTTCGGAGGACGGGCTGGTGTTCGGAGGACGGGCTGGTGTTCGGAGGACGGGCTGGTGTTCGGAGGACGGGCTGGTGTTCGGAGGACGAGCTGGTGTTCGGAGGACGGGCTGGTGTTCGGAGGACGGGCTGGTGTTCGGTGGACGGGCTGGTGTTCGGAGGACGGGCTGGTGTTCGGAGGACGGGCTGGTGTTCGGAGGACGGGCTGGTGTTCGGTGGACGGGCTGGTGTTCGGTGGACGGGCTGGTGTTCGGAGGACGGGCTGGTGTTCGGTGGACGGGCTGGTGTTCGGTGGACGGGCTGGTGTTCGGTGGACGGGCTGGTGTTCGGTGGACGGGCTGGTGTTCGGTGGACGGGCTGGTGTTCGGTGGACGGGCTGGTGTTTGGAAGACGGGCTGTTACACACGACTCACAACTGATGACATCCGAACACTTCCGGAACAAGTGCTTCACTGACGACTGGTGTTCGAACCACAACGCTGTAAATGCTTCACCCACGTACTACAAATAATCGCCAACAGAACCTAAACACCTAACCTATATATGCACAGTATGATAATTTATAACAATATTGATTGATATTTGAGAAAATTCCCCTTTGAATGAACAGCATGTATAATCGGTCTTTGGGGTCGACCGCTGGATGGAATGAACTTAGTACGAGGACGGGTTGGTTTATCTATGCTGTAAATTACCTTCCGGCACTGATCTCGATCACGGCCGCGTCTGTAGCGCACATAGTCGTCAGAGTCACGGGAGACATGATCACCACATGCAAAATTGATAGTGCAAAAGACCTAACAGAGAAGACCAGATTATGTACAATGACCATTACACAAACACGACAGCACAGGGTGAAATACGTATCAACTAAGCAACAGTGATATTAGACAAAAATATTACAATGAGCGAAAAATTGAATATATGGTGCAATGGGGAGTAGAGTGGATACCGGGCTTCGCGGGGGGCGCTTGAGGCTTCACGGGGGGGGGGGCGCGTGAGGCTTCACGGGGGGGGGGGGGGCGCGTGAGGCTTCACGGGGGGGGGCGCGTGAGGCTTCACGGGGGAAGGGCGCGTGAGGCTTCGCGGGGGGGGGGGGCGCGTGAGGCTTCACGGGGGGGGGGCGCGTGAGGCTTCACGGGGGGCGCGTGAGTCTTCACGGGGGGGGCGTGAGGCTTCACGGGGGGGCGTGAGGCTTCACGGGGGGGGAGGGGCGCGCGTGAGGCTTCGCGGGGGGGGCGCGTGAGGCTTCACGGGGGGGGGGGGCGCGTGAGGCTTCACGGGGGGGGCGCGTGAGGCTTCACGGGGGGGGGGCGCGTGAGGCTTCGCGGGGGGGGGGGGCGCGTGAGGCTTCACGGGGGGGGGCGCGTGAGGCTTCACTGGGGGAGGGCGCGTGAGGCTTCGCGGGGGGGGGGGGGGGCGCGTGAGGCTTCACGGGGGGGGCGCGTGAGGCTTCACGGGGGTGGGGGGCGCGTGAGGCTTCACGGGGGGAGGGCGCGTGAGGCTTCGCGGGGGGGGGGCGCGTGAGGCTTCACGGGGGGGGCGCGTGAGGCTTCACGGGGGGGCGCGTGAGGCTTCACGGGGGGGGGGCGCGTGAGGCTTCACGGGGGGGGGGGGCGCGTGAGGCTTCACGGGGGGGGGGGCGCGTGAGGCTTCACGGGAGGGGGCGCGTGAGGCTTCACGGGAGGGGGCGCGTGAGGCTTCACGGGAGGGGGCGCGTGAGGCTTCACGGGAGGGGGCGCGTGAGGCTTCACGGGGGGCGCGTGAGGCTTCGCGGGGGGGGGGCGCGTGAGGCTTCGCGGGGGGGGGGGGCGCGTGAGGCTTCACGGGGGGGGGGCGCGTGAGGCTTCACGGGGGGGGGCGCGTGAGGCTTCACGGGGGGGGCGCGTGAGGCTTCACGGGGGCGCGTGAGGCTTCGCGGGGGGGAAGGCGCGTGAGGCTTTGCGGGGGGAAGGGGGGGGGGGCGCGTGAGGCTTCACGGGGGGCGCGTGAGACTTCGCGGGGGGGGGGGGGGCGCGTGAGGCTTCGCGGGAGGGGGCGCGTGAGGCTTCACGGGGGGGGCGCGTGAGGCTTTGCGGGGGGAAGGGGGGGGGGGCGCGTGAGGCTTCACGGGGGGGGGCGCGTGAGGCTTCACGGGGGGCGCGTGAGGCTTCGCGGGGGGGGGGCGTGAGGCTTCACGGGGGGGGGGCGCGTGAGGCTTCACGGGGGGGGGGCGTGAGGCTTCACGGGGGGGCGCGTGAGGCTTCGCGGGGGGGGGGGATGAGGCTTCACGGGGGGGAGCGCGTGAGGCTTCACGGGGGGGGGTGAGGCTTCACGGGGGGGCGCGTGAGGCTTCGCGGGGGGGGGGGGGCGTGAGGCTTCACGGGGGCGCGTCAGGCTTCACGGGGTGGGGGCGCGTGAGGCTTCACGGGGGGGGGGGGGTGAGGCTTCACGGGGGGGGGCGTGAGGCTTCACGAAGGGCGCGTGAGGCTTCACGAAGGGCGCGTGAGGCTTCACGGGGGGGCGCGTGAGGCTTCACGGGGGGGGGCGTGAGGCTTCACGGGGGGGGCGCGTGAGGCTTCACGGGGGGGGGGGCGTGAGGCTTCACTGGGGGGCGCGTGAGGCTTCGCGGGGGGGGGGGCGTGAGGCTTCACGGGAGGGGGCGCGTGAGGCTTCACGGGGGGGGGCGCGTGAGGCTTCACGGGGGGGCGCGTGAGGCTTCGCGGGGGGGGCGTGAGGCTTCACGGGGGGCGCGTGAGGCTTCACGGGGGGGGGCGCGTGAGGCCTCACGGGGGGGGGGGCGCGTGAGGCTTCACGGGGGGGGGGGGCGTGAGGCTTCACGGGGGGGCGCGTGAGGCTTCGCGGGGGGGGGCGTGAGGCTTCACGGGGGGCGCGTGAGGCTTCACGGGGGGGGGCGCGTGAGGCTTCACGGGGGGGGGGGCGCGTGAGGCTTCACGGGGGGGGGCGCGTGAGGCTTCACGGGGGGCGCGTGAGGCTTCGCGGGGGGGGGGCGTGAGGCTTCACGGGGGGCGCGTGAGGCTTCGCGAAGGGGCGCGGGAGGCTTCACGGCGGGGGGGCGCGTGAGGCTTCACGGGGGGGCGCGTGAGGCTTCGCGGGGGGGGGGGGGCGTGAGGCTTCACGGGGGGGGCGCGTGAGGCTTCACGGGGGGGCGCGTGAGGCTTCGCGGGGGGGGGATGAGGCTTCACGGGGGGAGCGCGTGAGGCTTCACGGGGGGGGGTGAGGCTTCACGGGGGGGGCGCGTGAGGCTTCGCGGGGGGGGGGGGCGTGAGGCTTCACGGGGGCGCGTGAGGCTTCACGGTGGCGCGTGAGGCTTCACGGGGTGGGGGCGCGTGAGGCTTCACGGGGGGGGGCGCGCGTGAGGCTTCACGGGGGGGGGGCGCGTGAGGCTTCACGGGGGGGGGGCGCGTGAGGCTTCACGGGGGGGGGCGCGTGAGGCTTCACGGGGGGGGGCGCGTGAGGCTTCACGGGGGGGGCGCGTGAGGCTTCACGGGGGGGGCGCGTGAGGCTTCGCGGGGGGGGGGGGGGCGCGTGAGGCTTCACGGGGGGGGGGGCGCGTGAGGCTTCACGGGGGGGGGGGGCACGGGACACACTGAGAGCCTTACACAAGGGCAGGCAACTGAAGGCTGAGATCAGCCATCTGGTGTGACACAGTTTTCAATTTACCAGAATGTATGTGAGGGGCCACAGCCACTCTGCTGGCCTCGACGAGGACGGGAAGCCGGCGGCTTGTCAAACGTCCCCCCCCCATTTGTCCTTTTTTTGTTAAGTTGAAGTTTATCAGAGTTTTGGCATTTACGGCTTCGGCGGGTAGGCGGTTCCATGGGTTTATAACCCTGTGGGTGAAAAGGAATCTCCTGTTTTTTTAGTCCTACATTGTAGTTTGTTGAGGTTGAAGCCGTTGCTCCTTGTTTGTGTTACATCTGATCACTTGATGAAATTGTCTAGGTCAACATCCTCAGAATTGTTCAGTATTTTGAACGTTTCGATGAGATGAGCCCTGTCATGTCTGGTTTGTGGTGGTGTTAGCCCTGTGGCCCTCAACATGTCCTGGTATGAGAGTTGAGTTGACTTCTGGAAGGATTTGTGTTGCACGGTGTTGAATTTCCTCCAAAGAAGAGGTGTTTTTCCCCAGAAGATGAGGTCTCGTGCATGGATGCAATAATCAAAGTGCACCAAAATAATGTACCGCAGATTTATACAATTGAATAACTCCTTTATATCCTTATAGTCACAGGTACGCTTGACTATTATAAGGGTCGGGTCAAGCTCTCTCAACCTGCAACCCGTTCTCGCAAATTCGTAAAGTCAATATTGACTTATTAAATATGTGCATAGGTGACATACTTAACATAATAGATACCCTTAAAAAGATTCATAGAAAACACCGACCTTACTTAACCTTGTTAGTATCTTAAGATAAACATCTTATTGCTTCGTAATTACAATTATT